CAGGAATTCGTACCCCTACAAGGATATATAACAACTAAGAGAAATTCGTGCAACAGTCAAAATATAAGAAAATTTTAGCCTCTGAAGATCATGACACACCATGTGTGTCACGCGGTCCGGAATGCGTTAATAGATCTGATTCTTTCCTGTCTTATAGTTCTAGAATCGAGAAAATTTGAGGAAGGGCGCACAGAAGTAGTGTATTTTTATCACGTGAGTGCTGAGTGAGAAATTTCCTTACCGCAGGCGAAACTGGAACCCAAGATGTTTAGGAGCGGCGTTAACCAGTCATCATAAAACAACTTTAGAACATTGTGCTTTCTATTTTCTAAGCCCTCCACATTGGTGACTTGTCATAATGTGTCATGAATGTGGTTTTAGTTTCCATGTATTCAGATATCTTTCTCGACACATATGGAAGTTCCGGCTGCCCAGCGATCTCAAATTGTAGGAATACCGGACGGAGCACAACTGGTAATTATTTGATGGATTCGGAATTGTCCCACAAAAATCTCAATAAGCAGCTTTTCAAATCTAGTGCGCAATTGTGGTGACAGGTGTCACTGAGGGAGTGGTGCAAGTCCCCTGAAACATCAGGTCACCACCCATCCACGAGCGTTATATTTCACCGTAGAGTCCCTACGGACCGTAAACATGTATTGTAGAGTTGCTCTAATCCTTATATCGACTTTATCACTAATTACTTACTGAACACTGAATTTCAAAGGGTCTTATTGAGTCACACAGATTTCTAAATGTATAACTCACAAGTCCATGCGCTACTTCCGGGGGTCAGATCCCGGATCGGCTCCCGCCCGGGCCAACCGAGCCTTTTAACCTTCGAAGACGGTAAACTGGAACCAGGTTGTATCCGAGAGGATCAGAGTACTGAAATCACATCACAATTCAGCAGGTTCCCGCATATCATTGCATTGGTCACATCGCATTCAGTATGCCTCTTTGATCCAGAATTGAAGTAGAATGTCCGCATCCCAATAAGGGATTGCTCAGCGGCGGGTAGTTCATCCTTTATCCTTTTTGACTCGTGAGTTCTGGAACTTTAATTAAACAACTCAAAAAGGGTCCCTTTTTATGATTCGCCATTCATTCATAGTCTTTGTGGTTTTTCAGATGGGGTGCAGTGACTTGAGGAGAGCACCCGATGTACCACTCAGTATTTTACTACTCTCTGATAAAGGCCTGATACTAATTAACCGACGCTTGCGGTGGAAAGGCGCAGTTCGGTGACGAGGGGGCATTCTGCACTTTCACTGCTTCACTAGTTCCGGTTTACAAGTCTCACTCTGGTGAAACCTGTGAACTCTTGTGAAGCTTGAGCAAGCTCGTCGAGTCATCGTAAAACCAAGAAAAGGCTTTCTATATAGGTCGACACGTCGATAGAAGTAACATAAGTGCAAAACGCGCCCCATCCCCTCCGTCGCCGAACTGATGCTAACTCACCGACACTGGGTGGATGACATGGTCACCCTAGGAAGAAGTGAATTGTGGATTCGCTCCTTCCCGCCTCCCATCTCTGCCACAGGTTTCATGTAGCTGACTTTTTCCGTTTCATTTACCCCAACTTCGATAGCTCGATTCGTTTGGGGCATAATTGCACTCTTGTCCTGTAAGCACTCCCTACAAAAGAGGCGATTCTGTAGATACTTCTGTTTATTGTATGATTTCTCCAATAGTAACTTAATATTGATTGCAGCTTGTCATATCCCGTTTCACGAAAGCTCTACTACACTTTCCCTCTCATTCGGAGGAGTCTTCGCAAACACTATTTTTCTACTTTACGGGGCAGCCAGAATCTATTTTGAAGGCTCGTCGATACGTGCAGGTACCTTATGAATCTGTGAGAACAATGCTATTCACTAAACACCGACTGATACTATTAGATCTTAGGGTCTTCTTCCCATGCAGTTGTGTTTCCATGCTGGCAGTGAAGACCTTCGAGCTCACATCCAAGCAGAGGTTGGACTTATTTCCTGCTCGCATGTTCATACATTTTCTTCCTCGGAAAAACTGATATGTCGTTTCAGAACCGTTTGATAAAGTTCTACGACGAGATGCTGCGCGTTTCTGTCCGAGTAATACCTTCCGATCTCGAATCCTTATCAGTTCTTCCAGGAGACCAGATGAGGGTGAGGAAAACTCTTCACTTTTGGAATGGAAAAAAAAGTTTGCAGCACTGAAGCACTTTGGAGCGGAGTGCGCTCGGAGAAATCCATGTGCCAGACTAGGATTCTCCGAGTAGTTACCGTACTTTAAATTGGTTTCCACACCGGAGCTTCTTGTCCTTCAACGTAGGTGAAAATTCTCACTTCCATCACGGTAAATCTGATTTTCCACCAAAAGTTCTTCAAGTGATCCTCCCCATGATTACTAACGCTTAGTTTACTCCAATGATTTCTCAGGTTTTCAGCACTTCATTTCACTCCGAACAAGTGAGTACAATGTGGGTGCACTTTATGCTGTGATGCGTCGAGTTCTCAAACGAGGAGAAGAAATCGCAATGGTCACGCCCACTGACTACGCAGAAATGCTGCCACTTGTCCCTGATCTCATTAAGCATGCATGTGAAGTAAATGTCAAGGTAAGGTAAAGTTGCAGTCGTTTCTATAGGAATGATAAGGCGCGATTTTTTTTTCTTCACCCCGGACCTCTCACTTCGCTTTTGCTGCAATCGGCATCGAAGTTTACTTTGTTAATCTTGATGTGCCTGTCGAAGAATTTAGGTACAAAACTTTGGGTCGTCTTTTTACGCTTCTTGATTCGTTTCGAGCTTGAACCTTCGAAGAACTGGCGCTTGATCGATTAATCGAGGGATATTTCTTCAGCTCCCGCTATGAGGGTCAGAATGTTTACCTGCTTTCAAAAGTTTGTTTAGTGCCGATTGGAACCTCGTATACTGGATCTTCCTTCGATGTCCGCTTTGATGCCTCTTACCCCTAACTCATTATCCTCACACCTACTGTCAGCAAGCATTGTCGACCAGTCGAATCTGGCTCTGAATGCAGCTGATGCTTCCGAGGGGACCATCCCCTCTCGAAGGAAGGCCTCACCTGGTATCTTCATTTTAAAATATTTTCCATGTTGCACTGCTGATATGTCTCCATTTAGTTCCCTTCAATCGGCACAACTGCTTGGATACATCACTCGATACAACGTCATCAGCGCAATCAAGCAAAACTGATAATCTAACATCTTCACGTCAGTCGTTAAGAGACATCATAGTCTACCGTTTTCTCCCTGTGTTACTGTGTGTGTTGTACCTCCAGGTGCTGCCGGTTCCAACAGAAGCAGGAATTCTTCGCCTCAGACTATTTACCCCAGCAAATTCAGTTTACGGTACAAAGACAAAGAAAATAACGGTAGAGGTGAGTTTTTCAATATTAGTTGGTCTCCAGTGCTAACAATGAGGATTTCCGCCTAAACTCAGAAGGGTGGAGTCTTGTAGTGGGTGAACCGGGCAGAAACCGATCTTTGGATTCCAAGAAAAGTGGTCTGCCCACCCGGAGCTCCGTCGTTCTGGGATGTGCTGGGCGTGAACGTTTCTGAGTATGAGGAACTTTTACTAGTTTTCTTCCAAAGGGTGAAGTCACCTGTTGGAAGAATACTGTGGTTATGAAACCATCCTCACGTAGAAGTTCTATAGAAGCACCTTAATATCGGTCGAGATTTCAGATCGTAGACGTCTGCGCTCTTGTGTGAGGCTCAACCGATTGGCGTAGGGGAAGGCAATAATGATCACTCCACGAAGAGAGGGGGCAAGCAAGCATTAGTCGCGCAGCAGCCAACCGCCCCATCCGTAGTGCTGGATCGCGCGCGAGCCAGCGTTTTCAGCGAGTATGGCACTAGCTAATATGGCACTTTAGCGCCAGCCTCCTCCCTGCTGACAGCTGCATTACGTTAGCGCCGGTAATTAGATGTACATGTACACGTTGTCCTACAAAAAAGTTGGCAGAGGTTCCCTTGCTCCTTTCTCCTTTGAAAAGAAACCGCCCCAATTTGGTTGATTTGCATATAGTGCCATATTAGGCCTACTCGCATAATCAAGTCCTTACTAGCAAGCCGTTAGTTATAGCTAATTGAATTAGAGCCTAGGAAACGTTTGATTGCAAGCGCAAAAATTGTTTTCACCTCAATTAACAGAAAATGATTCAGGTTCATTCAACAACTATGGTCGTGCCAAAAATTACAACACCGAGCGTCGGGTAAGTGATGACGAAGATGTTTGTATTTCTTTGGAAATGAGTAAACCATTTCCAGAATAACACATTCCGATCGTTACGCTTTGGCACCACTAATTCTTCGCACTCAAAGCATCATTTGGCGCTTCGCAATAGGGAAGGAGATATCGACGTTAGTTCAAATTCAACTTTTCTTGTGTGCTCTGTTTTGTAAGGCACGCATCCGAGCGTTGTGAATCCAGTCGTTTATTACTGAAATCAGTCGGGGCGTGTCAAAGGCGGGCACCGGCACCGCTTGGCACCGCTCCACTTCGTTCCCCACCTTGTACGCGCCGAGCAGCAACGATTGATGGAAAACCGGCTGGCGCCGCGCGAAGGCCCACTCGACGCTGACACGCGACTGACATCAGTGGTAATGACTGTATTGGTAATTCAGAATCTATTAAAGCAACTAGCCATATAGCATGGTTATGAGCTGGTAGCTAGCTGCCTGAAAGTGGCTTACAGTGTCTACTGTTACAGAAAGCTGTTGAAAGCCGTCTTCACCGTAACGTCTCGAGCCCGCAAATAGGTATTTTATCCTGCGTAATCTATTGCTTTGGTTGTGTGTTTAACAGATTCATGTGGACAGAAAACTCTTCTCGTACTGGTGGCGATGATATTTATCTGCGTCGGCGAAACCATCCTCAGAATGGTTCTGAGCGAGTCCATCACGGGTATAATATCAGTTATAGCTGTATCAATACAATCTCGTGGTCAGCTCAATATTCACAAAACGTTGTTCAGAGTTTATGAGCGCCGTAACACTGCGGAATGGCGAGGTAATCAGTCGAAATCAGCGGAGTCACCTGCGGTATACACTCTTCCCACGAAGACCATGCTGGTAATGACAATTATACTGTTTTTTTTTCGTCTGATCCACAAGAATTCATGAGCGCATATCTATTTCAAAAATATTATTGATGGTCATCTCCATCTATCTGACTAGTAGAAATGCAAATGAAAATAAGTGTTCTTCCCTCTGGGATCTCTATTTTCCAGAGCATTTATCAGGCAGCGTTCAGGTTTCACGACGACGCCCGTCGACGCGAACCGCTGTAACTGGCGACCGCGTGGCGCTGTGACGCGCTACAATTGCAACAGCCCTCCAATGGTATGGACGCGGACGCAGCTACACACGAAAATTGACTGACGCTGCTCGCTTATGCATTGAGAGAATGTGGGGAACCGTTGCTTAGTCAGTATCTATCGACGGTGGCCACTAGGTCGGCATCGATCGATTCTCGTCTGCTGCTGCGTTTGCTTCTATGGGAGTGGAGTGCTCTTGGAAATGCAACGCGTCGACGTCCGTTACAGCGCGCTATAACGCGTTTTCGCGCGTCATTGCGAGGTCTGAACGCTGCATCAAGTTGTCTCGAAAGTCCTGCACTGACCAGGAGGTCGTTCAGGACGTGGAGCGCTTTTTGAAAACGGTTTTTTGCATGATGTGGGGTCACGTGCATGGAGTACCAAACTGACGTTCATTTTTCCTACGCGCCTCTGGGAATACCAAAAAAGGAGTGAAAAAGAAGTGTATGGAAACCGATTGTTTTGAGCCTCTACGGGCTCTAAATCACTTGCAACTTTGACCAGTTGCTGAGTGAAGGGTCCTTATAAAGGTACTATGGGAATCAAGATGAAAAATAGTCGCGGATGGGGTCTTACTTGCCGCACGTGATTAAGGTTCCTTAAAATTGTTTTTTCAACAATCGGGGCAGTGTTCAGCTACAACGATCGGAAGGCCTAGTGGATAGCGTGGAGGATTCTCGAATCGGATTGTGGGGACAGGCGTTGATGGTTCTACTCCCCTCTTCAGAGTTTTTGCATTTTTATGTTTCGCTGCTTCTCGCTTCCATATATGTTTGTTTATTTTACTCGGATATCTGCCATTTATAGGCACATTCTAAATAGTTATACCCATGAGTCGGTGCTATTCAACAATTTCGATTTTCACATACCATTAAAGACAGCGCCCGCGATGGACTTTGGCAGGTCTCAGGGGTCAAATTTGTTAGAACAGGTGGCCAATGAAGCACTAATCAAAAAAGTAGGAAAAAGGTGTGGAAGAGCGTGAAATAAGACCCTATGAAATTTAAGGCATGTGGACGAGTTTCGCAAACTTCTGGTGAGTTCTCCAATACACGTCGCCGCCTCGGAACTCTAGAAATTCAGCGTATATCAATGCCAGCAAGCATTGATAACTGTCAACCAGTCGGGGCGGGATTAACAGGACAGGAGGCGTCAGCTCAGCCTTGTTGACTCCGCCCTCGTCAACCAATCGATTTCGAGCCGCAAGAGTGGGATTTCCGCTGTGGTTGCGTACTCCGCGTTCGTTTTCATTGGAGGGTTTTTTCACTTTGGTTGATCGCGGACGCTGCCTTTAAGCAAGGAACTTGTCTGAAAGTTGAGCTTTATATGTTATTCAGTGCCCTGATCATGACTATGGCATTGCTTTCAGCTGTAGTGCCATTTATCGCCAATTTGGAGCCAAATCTTTCTCCACTGAACTCGTTATGTTATCTCATTGAGGGGCCTGCAGGGCTATCCTGACGTCGAATCGCGTCGACGTCAAAAATAAGTGTCAGAATCGTGATCAGGACCATCGATTACCCCTATAGGCAAACTTTAAATTTTTTTGACTTTCTTGAGTTGTGATTTGGTCGGCAATTTGGTCGGCAATTATGACAGGAGCACCATTCCTTCAAAGCGGCGATGACGTCACGATGACGTGGCGAGCCGCCTGGCAGCCGCATCGCGGATTCGGTGCTCATAAGGTCCTTTCATACTTGACATGGCCTGGGTGGCCGCAGGATACGTGAGAAACCATCCTGGACGTTTGTCGACCACCAGCGACTGCTCGCTGACTAAAGATGTCGTCTTCCCTACCGTGAGAAGAGACTCATCAAATTTCCTCCACTCTTTCAAATATACTTGGAGGAATGATAGCCGCCTTTGTTCTTTTTTTCCATGACGTTTATGTTGTTGCTAGTTTTTTGTTTCCGTACCACTGAATGAGGGTTTCGATAACCAGCAAAAGTACGACTTCAACAAAGTGACTCTTGAGCATAACCCAATGCACAGACTCAAAAAAGTCAAAAAAATTTTTTGGCTGAAAGTTTGCCTATAGGGGTAATCGATGGTCCTGATCACGATTCTGACACTTATTTTTGACGTCGACGCGAATTCGACGTCAGGATAGCCCTGCAGGCCCCTCAATGAGTAAACATAACGAGTTCAGTGGGAAAGATTTGGCTCCAAATTGGCGATAAATGGCACTACAGCTGAAAGTAAATGCCATAGTCGTGATCAGGGCACCGAATAACATATAAAGCTCAACTTTCAGACAAGTTCTTGCTTAATGGTATGTGAAATCGAAATTGCTGAATAGCACCGACTACGGGGTATAACTATTTAGAATGTGCCTATAAATGGCAGATATCCGAGTAAAATTCATAAACAGACATATATGGAAGCGAGAACAGCGTAACATAAAAATGCAGAAACTCGGAAGACGAGGGGAGTCAAACCATCAACCCTGTCCCCACCGTCCGATTGAGAATCCTCCACGCTATCCACTAGGCCATCCGATTGTAGCTAAACACTGCCCCGATCGTTGAAGAAACAGTTCTAAGGAGCCGTTCACTCTCAATCACGTGCCGCAAGTAAGACCCCATCCGCGACTATTTTTCTCTTATTCCCATGGTCCTCTTAAAGTCCCTTCACTCATAACTACTAATCAAAAGTTGTAAAATGATCGAGAGCCCGTAGAGGCTCAAAAACACTTAGTTTCCATGCACTTCTTTTTCGCTCCTTTATTGGTATTCCCAGAGGCGCGTAGGAAAAATGAACGTCAGTTTGGTACTCCATGAACGTGACCCCACACCATGAAAAAAAAACCGTTTTCAAAAGCGCTCCACGTCCTGAACGACCTTTCTGGTGAGATCCATTTGTCGATCGAACTTTTATACCACTTTAGCTAAATCTTTTGGCGGTAATGTGCGGTAGTGTTCTGATAGCTTTCACAAAAAAGGTGTGTGAGCGCGCGCGTTTTTTCGGTATTTCACAAGGATTTTCCAATCAATTTAGGCCCATTTCGGACCTTCGTATACTAACAACTTCTCGCAAGGCCATCCGATACCATCGCTCATGCCTATGCCATATTCATTAGTGAGCGTTCAGACTTCGCGACGGCAGCGCCTCAGTCATGCGTTCGACGACGCGATCGATCGCGCAAGAGTCCACCTGCGTCGATCGCGCAAGGGTCGTCAATCGCGCAAGCGTTCGGCTGCGTCGCGTGTCTTCTTCAACGGCTCCGTGGAAAAACTCACCGACACGGAGATCTGGCGTTACCGGCGGGGCGATGCGAAAGGATGGTCCGCGCCTCCGTCACTGTGTGGCGCAGTTCAGGGAGAGACCGCCCTACTAGTCCTCCCCCACGACGAATCTGTGTTCGAAGGGTCCGCTATACGCATCAGGTTGACCACCTGCCGCGGCTCATAGTTTTTCCCGGGGACTATACCGCTTTCCCGCACGGTGTAGTCAACCGTTCCCTGGGGAACTACCGGGGCCTAAGCAGGGGTAGTTCAGGGGGCGGCAGCCCTTGCGCAGCCATATCCTCGTGGTGGGTCCGACCTTCCCTATGTCCGTCCTGGACCCCTGGGTCGGCCGGCCGCTACCATTGTTACAGCCTGCCGTATTTACATGCCTATTCTAGCCCCCCCCCTGTACCCTGAGGCATGTCCAAACCAGCAGAAAACATCACGACCAACCACTACTCTTATAACCAATCAAACCCTGGGCCTAACCAGCACCTTGCGGGCCCACCTGCCTGGTCGCTCCCGAGTTCCACCTATTGTAAACATTACAACATATATAACACTTCACATTTATTGACTCACGTGCAAACGGTAACTATCTTCCAATTTGTCCTCATGTCCTGCTGGATCTGACCATCCATCTCCAACTTGTCGGCAGCTATTTACGGTGAAACTGGCGCTCTGCGGTACAACGCAACGCCGCAAGGCCAGCTAATGCTTCGATCTAACAGGCACGGGCCAGAGCCAGAGCTTCGCGGCAGAGCGGGTGCCCGGTGGTTCTCTCCTCCGGAGGGAGAGAAGCGCACATCGACTGGTTCCTGCAGCCTGTATGTAGGTTCCACTGACAAGTGGGAGGTCTTTGAGGTCGTGGCGCGTTTTTAAAAATGGTTTGTTGCTTGTTGTAGGGGTCCATGCAAGGTTTACAAAAATGGGTTTCATTTTTGCTATGCGGCGTTTCCGGTGAGGCTCAAAAACTAGTGAAAACAATTTGGACAGAGAAACGCGATTTTAAACCGTGTAATGGGCTTCTAGTTGTAGCTGTAACTTTGACAGTGCATAATTCATGAGGTGTCCCTTCACTATGTATTGAAAAGATAGCAAAGTAAAGCCAATAAGAAAGTGGACGGAGGGGAGTAATACCGAAGTTACTTGAACGATTCTCGCAACCGCTGTTTCGCGGTCGGCGGATGGCGGAGTGGATAGTGCGGTGGGCTCTCGCGAAAGAAGGTTCTTGGATCGGATCCCCTTGGCGACTAACTCTTTGCATTTTTCGGATACTTTATACGTTTTTCGGTTTTGGATTTACGACACCCATTTTTGACCACGGCGCAGCCTAGCGCCGACTTGCAAAGAGCATTCTTCCACTGAATTGTTGCCAACCCGCACGCAGGGGTTAAGCGCTCATCTCGAGGAGAAAATTTTTGCTGAAAGTCTGTATATAGAGGTTATTAATGGCCCTGATGACGATTCTGACCTTTAAAATTGGCGTCTAGGTCATTTGGCTTCTGAACACCCCCCCCATTCACGCCAGCTGCGGTTGGGATCTGCGAGAAGATCTCTTGAGAAACTACGAAATGCT